CGGACTAGAGGCCACCTGTGGTACTGCAGCCTACATCCACACGGACTAGAGGCCACCTGCGGTACTGCAGCCTACATCCACACGGACTAGAGGCCACATGTGGTACTGCAGCCTACATCCACACGGACTAGAGGCCACCTATGGTACTGCAGCCTACATCCACACAGACTAGAGGCCACCTGTGGTACTGCAGCCTACATCCACACAGACTAGAGGCCACCTGTGGTACTGCAGCCTACATCCACACGGACTAGAGGCCACCTGTGGTACTGCAGCCTACATCCACACAGACTAGAGGCCACCTGCGGTACTGCAGCCTACATCCACACGGACTAGAGGCCACCTGTGGTACTGCAGCCTACATCCACACGGACTAGAGGCCACCTGCGGTACTGCAGCCTACATCCACACGGACTAGAGGCCACCTGTGGTACTGCAGCCTACATCCACACGGACTAGAGGCCACCTGCGGTACTGCAGCCTACATCCACACGGACTAGAGGCCACCTGCGGTACTGCAGCCTATATCCACACGGACTAGAGGCCACCTGCGGTACTGCAGCCTACATCCACATGGACTAGAGGCCACCTGTGGTACTGCAGCCTACATCCACACAGACTAGAGGCCACCCATGGTACTGCAGCCTACATCCACACAGACTAGAGGCCACCCATGGTACTGCAGCCTACATCCACATGGACTAGAGGCCACCTGCGGTACTGCAGCCTACATCCACATGGACTAGAGGCCACCTGCGGTACTGCAGCCTACATCCACACGGACTAGAGGCCACCTGTGGTACTGCAGCCTACATCCACATGGACTAGAGGCCACCCGCGGTACTGCAGCCACACAGGCTTTTTACCCACAGACCTCAGTGTGACTAAAACGATTCGTCCTCAGCGGGAACTGCAGCTTCTACAAACGAGGATTTTAATTGTTTCTTGTCGTCATGGACTTTTTCTTGTGGATTCCATCTTTAGTGCAACAAACTCTGCTTGCTCTCATTCCGCTCGGGTCTCTCTCTGGTCTCTCTCTCTGATCCGTCTATGGTCTCTCTCTGGTCTCCATCTGGTCTTTCTTTGGTCTCTCTCTGGTCTCTCTCCGGTCTCCATCTGGTCTTTCTCTAGTCTGTCTCTGGTCTCTCTCTGGTCTCCATTTGCTCTTTCTCTAGTCTGTCTCTGGTCTCTCTTTGGTCTCTCTCTGGTCTCTCTCCGGTCTCCATCTGGTCTTTCTCTAGTCTGTCTCTGGTCTCTCTTTGGTCTCTCTCTGGTCTCTCTCCGGTCTTCATCTGGTCTCTCTCTCTGGTCTCTCTCTGGCCTTTCTTTGGTCTCTCTCTGGTCTTTCTCTGGTCTCTCTCTCTGGTCTCCATCTGGTCTTTCTCTCTGGCCTCTCTCCGGTCTTCATCTGGTCTCTCTCTGGCCTCTCAAATCTTTCTCTCTGTTTACACTGTTTTTGGTCATTTCAAAGTTAAGTACCTCAGCTAAGACAACCAGATCTCACAGTAGTTAAACAAATAAATCACATGAGCCAGTTTAACGTAATACTCTCATGGACTCACAGACAATTCTGATTTGAAGCCAAACCTCTCTCAGCTCAGAGAGTCAAATTGTGACTCCCAGGGCTCGTTCTTACAAGAATAAAGACAATAAACAAAAACTGAGGTACCCCAGCTTTAAAAACCCATGAGAATCTGAATTTTCACTCTTCTTTTCCACGTCCTTGAAGTAGTTGGTCCGGAGGTGAGGGCCTGGCTTCCTGACTCCTTCCCCCACATCCAGCCTCTTCCCTGGGTCTGGAAGTGCCCGCAGCTGCCTCTCTGGCTCATTGTCATCTGGCTCTGACCGCAGAGTTCTATGATTACGACGACTTCTGCTCATTCTGAGGACGTTGGTTTGAGATCGGGTCTTCGGCAGAACCGCACTCAGGTGACGCTTTTGTGAAGGGGAAAATGAAACAAAAGAGTTTTATTGTGAAGAGGAAGGACGGAGAATGCGGCGCAGACAAAGCAGCGCGGGACAAAAGACTTTGTTTGGAAAAACGAATGAAAAAAAAAAACAACGGGAGGAAATCTTCAACAATGGAGCGGATTATGACGATTGGGGAGAGATGCAGTGATTGATTTAGCAGATGGTTTCAGAGAGAATGAGATTATCCAACGAGTCTGACTTTGGGCCATTTCTGTGTTGCTTTGTGAGCAGAGGAACGAACTTAGGAAGAGATGGATTTATAGGAGAAAAATTGACTTTTTTGGAGTTTTTAGACTTTTATAAAATTATCAGAGACTGGAGCAGTTCTATCTCACTGATCAGAGAGAGACCAGAGACTAGAGAGAGACCAGAGACTAGAGACTAGAGAGAGACCAGAGAGAGACCAGAGACTAGAGAGAGAGACTAGAGAGAGACCAGAGACCAGAGACTAGAGAGAGAGACTAGAGAGAGAGACTAGAGAGAGACTAGAGAGAGAGACCAAGGAGAGAGACTAGAGAGGGACTAGAGAGAGACTAGAGAGAGAGACCAGAGAGAGACCAGAGAGAGAGACTAGAGAAAGAGACTAGAGAGAGAGACTAGAGAGAGACTAGAGAGAGAGACCAGAGAGAGACCAGAGAGAGAGACTAGAGAGAGACCTGCGGTGCACACAGGAGACAAAGGTTTTCTTCTGACTTTAAGTAAAGGTAACTGTAACGATTTACTCGTCTTCATACGATGACACTCTCATATTAGTCCTGGTCCCAGGTCTGGAATTCTCCAGTCTCAAAGAGACTTTGGGTTTTGGGGCTGGATGAGAAAGAGGCTAGCGTGGTGTAGTGCTGTAGAAATGATAATAAGACAGAATTCAACAATCTGCACTTTGGACCCAAGAGCCACAGAACCACTGGACCACTGGACCCGCTCAGACAAAAACAGTCCTGTGCTTTAGTCTTGCATCATCGCCAAGAGCCAGTCTCTCCAGAGCAGCTCGGACCTCGCAGCCCGGACCTCGCAGGCCTCTTTAGTCCCTCTCAAACACACTCTCTCTGTCTGCTCCTGGTTTGATGAAGTCTGATCTGTGTTTATTCTCTGCATCCCGAGCGCTGGTCTCCGCCTCGCGCCGCGGCCCCGGTCCCTGTAATCCCTTTAGAGCGGCTCCAGTCACAGCGCGCCGTGTGTGAGCGAGCGCGGAGCTGAGGAGAATGCAAAGTGAGAGAGACCCATTCATCCAGACTCGGGCTCCTCGGGATCCTCGGGCTCCTCGGGCTCAGCTCCACCAGTGAGAGGCTGTCTTTGACTTCAGTCTTTCTTTCTGAGCTTTGGGAGGTTTGAAAATACAGTCGTGTTTGAAATGTCACAGTTTTAATGTTTTTGAATCTTTGTTTTTCATTGTTGATGGTTTTTGTGAAGCTGCGTTTTGTATTTTCAAACTAAAAACAAGAGGAGAATGAGCAGGTTTACCATCAGAGAGACCAGAGGGACCAGAGAGGGACCAGAGGGACCAGAGAGGGACCAGAGAGAGACCAGAGAGAGACCAGAGAGAGAAACAAGAGAGAGAGACCAGAGAGAGACCAGAGAGAGACCAGAGAGAGACCAGAGAGAGACCAGAGAGAGACCAGAGAGAGACCAGAGAGAGACCAGAGAGAGACCAGAGAGAGACCAGAGAGAGACCAGAGAGAGACCAGAGAGAGACCAGAGAGAGACCAGAGAGGGACCAGAGAGGGACCAGAGAGAGACCGGCACGGTGGCTGAGTGGATAGCACTCTCGCCTCTCAGCAAGAAGGTCCTGGGTTCGAATCCCGGTCGGACCAGGGACTTTCTGAGTGGAGTTTGCATGTTCTCCCCGTGTCTGCGTAGGTTTCCTCCGGGTACTCCGGTTTCCCCTACCACTAAAAATATGTACAATAGGTCTGGCATGCGCCTCCTGTACTGGCGACCCTGCTCCCATCTCTGTGTGGAGTGAGAGACAAATGCCCATAATTAACAATTGTAAACCGCTTTGAGACTCAGATCTGCAGTGAAAAGGCGGTATATAAATAAAGATTACTATTACTACTAAAGATTACTACTACCAGAGAGAGACCAGAGAGCGGCCTCTGATACGGTCTATATATAGTTCAAAACAGAAACACAACATTTATACAACGGTCTAAAGGGACAGAAGCAATCATCACTTTAGTTTCTGATAAGAATTAAAGCTGGGGGATGTAACTTTCAAACCACAACAATTCAACAAAGTAATAAATAAAAGTCTCTCACACGACTCTTAACACAGTTTCTATCTCTGCTCTTCATCTCTTTTCAGTCTCTGTCACTTCCTCAGATTTTACAGACAGAAAAGTGACGAAGAGGACCACCCCCTCTCAGCCAATCAGCTCTCAGCCAATCAGCTCTCAGCCAATCAGCTCTCTCTCCCAAAGAGTCAAATAGAGACTTGCAGGGACCTCACACAGATGGAGACAGCGTGTCGTGGTCTGATTGTACAAGACTCGAAACGTGAAGAATCCAAAATGGCCGAAAAATCACATTTCACAGATTTGCAGCGAAGGAAACGGCTCGAGGCCCAAGAAGAATGTGAGACGAAGGATCTCGAACCCATGACCCACTCTCAGCTCCAGCGGGACTAAAGCCACATGTGACAAAAGCTACAGACTGGTCTCAGGTCTCTGTCCTGAAGTCCTCATTAGTCCTGGTCTCAGGTCTCTCTGGTCTCTGGTCTCTGGTCTCGGGTCTCGGGTCTCGGGTCTCGGGTCTCGGGTCTCGGGTCTCGGGTCTCGGGTCTCGGGTCTCGGGTCTCGGGTCTCGGGTCTCGGGTCTCGGGTCTCTGGTCTCTGGTCTCGGGTCTCGGGTCTCGGGTCTCGGGTCTCGGGTCTCGGGTCTCGGGTCTCGGGTCTCGGGTCTCGGGTCTCGGGTCTCGGGTCTCGGGTCTCGGGTCTCGGGTCTCTGGTCTCGGGTCTCGGGTCTCGGGTCTCGGGTCTCGGGTCTCAGGTCTCAGGTCTCAGGTCTCTGGTCTCGGTCTGGTCTCGTACCTTGCCCACGTATTGCATGTCGGTGCCGGTGTACTCCTCCAGGAGGAAGAACTGGTTCCACATCCAGCCTCTCTTGGACCTCCGCAGAGGGGCCCCCTTTGCGTCGTGTGCGGTCAGCGCTCCGAGGCCCCGGGACCTGCCCAGTGAAGAGGCTCTCCTCGGTCCAGACCGAAGTCCGGCCCCTGAGGAGCTGCAGCAGAGCAGCACCAGACCCAGCAGCACCAGCCGCTCCATGGTCTCCTCGAATCCTCACCAGTGCTCGCTCACGCCTTCGGCTCGGTCCACATCCCAGATTCTCCACTGGACGTGATGAGAGGCCCGGGGCCCGGGGAGAGAGAGGTGAGGGGTGAGGGTGAGGGTGAGGGTGAGGGCTGGAAGAGAAGACAACACAATAAAGTTTACTTAAAGAGACATGACGAATCTTTGCAATCATTGGAATGATTTTTGAGAGAATGAAACATCAAAGTCAATGAGATTCCCAAGGACCATGTGGGGGAAGTCTTTGCTTAAGGACAATACAGTTTGGCACATGGTGTTCTCAGGGGTCTCCCATCACAGAACAAGCCAGACCCTGCTCTGCTTAGCTTCTGATCTGGCCTTTGCCTCCAGGTGGCGCCACAACAGACATATGTGTAACTTGTGGCGGTGAAGACTATGATGTATTTGATCCAATGAAAATGTGTCATTCTGAACAGGACCGCCTTAAACATGTTTTAACCAATGAGCTCTCAGCGTGATGTGGCACTTCCTGATTGGTCCAACAGTGACTGACACTGACATGAATCTGCCGCAGACAGACTTTAGACGATTATTTTACTCATTTCCTGTGTGTCGGATCCAAACTGAAGCTAAACCTTGAACAAGACAAAACAAGGTGCATTCTGGGAGGAGGACAGCAGTTTGTCAGATTAGAGGAGGATCCGGCGAGACGAAGGAAACGGGCAAAAACTAAAACACAGAAACACTGGAAACACAAGTTGTTTTTGTGAAAATACAGCGGAGAGAGGAGGAAGAGAGGAGGAAGAGAGGAGGAGAGAGAGGAGGAGAGAGGAGGAGAGAGGAGGAGAGGGGGGAGAGAGGAAAGAGAGGAGAGAGAGGAGAGAGGAAAGAGAGGAGGAGAGGGAATAGGAGAGAGGAGGAGAGAGGAGGAGGAGAGAGGAGGAGCGGGAGGAGAGAGGAAAGAGAGGAGAGAGAGGAGAGAGGAAAGAGAGGAGGAGAGGGAGGAGGAGAGAGGAGGAGAGGGAGGAGAGAGGAGGAGGAGAGAGGAGGAGAGGAGAGAGGAAAGAGAGGAGGAGAGAGAGGAGAGAGGAAAGAGAGGAGGAGAGAGGAGGAGAGAGGAGGAGAGAGGAGGAGGAGAGAGGAGAGAGAGGGAGGAGAGAGGAGGAGGAGATAGGAGGAAAGGAGAGAGGAAAGAGAGGAGGAGAGAGAGGAGAGAGGAAAGAGAGGAGGAGAGAGGAGGAGAGGAGAGAGGAAAGAGAAGAGGAGAGGGAGGAGAGAGGAGGAGAGAGGAGGTGAGAGGAGGAGAGAGGAGGAGAGGGAGGAGAGAGGAGGAGGAGAGAGAGGAGAGAGGAGGAGAGAGAGGAGAGAGGAGAGGAGGAGAGAGAGGATGAGAGGGGGGAGAGGAGAGACGAGAGAGAGGAGAGAGGAGAGAGAGTAAGTAAGTAAGTAAGTAAGTTTTTATTTATATACCGCCTTTTCACTGCAGATCTGAGTCTCAAAGCGGTTTACAATTGTTAATTTTGGGCATTTGTCTCTCACTCCACACAGAGATGGGAGCGGGGTCGCCAGTATAGGAGGCGCATGCCAGAACTATTGGACATATTTTTAGTGGTAGGGGAAACCGGAGTACCCGGAGGAAACCTACGCAGACACGGGGAGAACATGCAAACTCCACTCAGAAAGGCCCTGGTCCGACCGGGATTCGAACCCAGGACCTTCTTGCTGAGAGGCGAGAGTGCTATCCACTCAGCCACCGTGCCGCCCGCCACAGAGAGGAGGAGAGAGGAGGGGAGAGGAGGAGAGAGAGGAGAGAGGAGGAGAGAGGATGAAAGGGGGGAGAGGGAGGAGAGAGAGGAGAGAGGGGGAGAGGGGTGAGAGGGAGGAGAGGGAGGAGAGAGGAGGAGAGAGAGGAGGAGAGGGAGGAGAGAGGAGGAGAGAGGAGGAGAGGGAGGAGAGAGAGGAGGAGAGGGAGGAGAGAGGAGGAGAGAGAGGAGAGAGGAGGAGAGAGAGGAGAGAGAGGAGGAGAAGAGGAGGAGAGAGAGGAGAGAGGAGAGAGAGGAGGAGAGAGGAGGAGAGAGAGGAGAGAGGAGGAAGAGAGGAGGAGAGAGAGGAGGAGAGAGGAGGAGAGGGGGGAGAGAGGAAAGAGAGGAGAGAGAGGAGAGAGGAAAGAGAGGAGGAGAGGGAGGAGGAGAGAGGAGGAGAGAGGAGGAGGAGAGGGGGAGAGAGGAGGCGAGAGGAGGTGAGAGGAGGAGAGAGAGGAGAGAGGAGAGGAGCTTCTCTCTATGTCAGATTCGCGAATTTTCTCTCTTCGCTCTGCTTCTCTGCTTACTTCTCTCCTCTTCTCTTGCTTCCTTACTTTCATTCTCGTCTCTCTTCTTCTTGGCGCTTCTCTCTTACATCTCTTCTTTATCTCTCTTCTCTCCTTCCCTCTTCTTCTACTCTCTTCTTCTCTCATTCTTCTCCTACTCTCTTCATTTCTGCTACACTCCTTTTTTTCTCTTCCTCTCTCTTCTCTTCCTCTCTTCTTCCTCCCTCTTCTTCTCTCTTCCTCACTTCTCTCTTCCTCTCCTCTGCCCTCTCTCTTCCTCTGTCCCTCTCTCTCTCTCTCTTCTTCTCTTCTCGTCCTCTTCTCTCTCCTTCCTCCTCTTGCTTCATCTCTTCAGCTCTCTCGTTTCTGTCTCTCTGTTTTCCTTCTCCTTCCCTTCTTTCTCTTTTCCTTCTCTCTTCCTTCTCTCTTCTTCTCATTTCTTCTTCCTCTCTCTTTGCTCTTTCGTTCCTCTCTTCTTTCTCTCGTACTTCTCTTCTGTCTTCGCTGTCTTCTCCTTTTCATCTCTTTTTTTCTCTTCTCTTCTGGCACTCTCTCTTCTTCCTGCTGCTTCTTCCTCCTACTTTACTCTTCGGCTACGAGAATTAGTCCAGTTTAGCTTCTTTACGTGGGGGATTGCGTCTAAGCTGATGATGTTCCATGGACTTACGTGCTCCTTGCCTCTATTCTTAGATTCCTTGTTCTTGGGTGAGTGATTGGGGGATTGGAGATGTTTCTGGTCCTCTGTGTTTTTTGTTGCTTTTTTGTTTGTGGGTAGGGGGGTTTTGTGTTGAGGTGATGCTTGGTTGGTGTGTTGTAGGGGGTAGGTTGTTCGTTATATTTCTGGTTTGTTACGGGGTTCTTTTTGAGGGGCTGGGTAATGTGGTCGTAGCTGTTGGCTTCGTGTGCTTGGAGTCTAGGGGGTTGGTTGGGGAGGGGTTGGGGTGGTTGCGTGTGGCAGGTTCCTTCATTTGCTCTTTTGAGTGTGCTTGTTTTTTGTCAGTCCAGGCGAAGTAAGGATGACGGTAGAGCGAATGCGAGGTGCGGACAAGACTGGGGGTATGCCGAGACAACACAATCCAAACCCCACGCGTCCGGAGCAGGAAAGAGGCTGTCCCTTGTCGGTGCGTGACGGGCAGCCCGCTCATAAACATTGTGATGAAGAGCCGTCTGAACCAATTGTTCGAGTCGGATGTGTAGATACAGTCTTGTGAGGGCTGTTGTGCGGTATGTCTTACGCGTGCATTTGTGTCATCTGAGATACATGGTGACAGTCACCTTATGTCGAACGCACATCCTTCGCGTTTATTCTTTCTCCCCCGCCCCTCTCGCTCTCTCCCCCCCTTTTTTCTTACCTTTTGGTGCGCGGTCAACGTCTACCCCCCCACGTGTGAGCTAGGTACGGACACGCTGTCCTGCATCCCTCCTCCTCACCCCAACTTCCCACCCTCAAGCCAACGCCGCCTCATCCGACCCCTCCCCCTCCCCCCCCAGCACCCCCCCCTCCCCCTGGCCTCACCCCGCGCCTCCCCCGCCCTCACTCCCCGATGCCTTCCCCCTTTCTCCGTCCGTTGACTGTACTGTTGTTGTGTTCCTCTCTGATTCTTCTGGTTTCGTTTTGAATCTCTTGCCCCGCTTGAGTCATATTGGAGTCTCGGATCTTTGTCTAGTATTTCTTAGCTTTCTATTTCTTGTCCGTCGGGTTTCCTGCCGCGTGTGTTGTTTTTCTCTTCTGTGATCTGTACGGGCGGCGGTCTTCCTTTCTTGGTTTAGTGTCGGCATTTGTTCATCTTTCTTTCTTTTGGGGTGTGTCAGTTGCGTAGGGAGTCGCACCTAGGTGGGGGTTTACGTAGGGTTTCTTTTTTTCTCTTAGGTCATCATTATAGTTACCGAGGTTAGCTCTTGTGTTTTATTTTAATTTTGCCGCGCTATATCTTCTTTTGTTATTCTTCTGTTTCTGTCTCTTCGTTTTTCCCGGGGTCGCTTTCAGCATTTAGCAAGGAGAGTGTAGATGTGCTTGATTAGATGGAAGTATCAGCGATTCTCCTTTCGAGCTTTCAAAGTCGTCCTCTTTTTTTCTCCACTCCTATCCCATCTACTTCCTTTCTTCTTACTCATTATTTGTCTTTAACCAGTCAGCTTCATGACTCAGCTAGGTCTTGGTTGGGCCGCTTGGTTCCGTCTTATGTTTCCTCTCTTCCTCTCTTCGTTCTGCGTAGTCCCCCCCCGTCTTCTCTTATTTACCATTGTTTCGTTTCTCTTTCGGCGCTGCTGGCTGTATCCTCTACAAGCTTCCTCCTACGTGGCTGGCGCACCCCACGTTTCTTTTCTGTTTGACCTCACCCTCATACCGATGTGTATACTAATGGCGCAGGTATCGGAGAAGTTGCCCGCACTCAGTTTGGTATACAGCGCGTTTCCCTTGCTACCCTTTTCGGTACGCTTTATTTGGGGTGTTAGCTCTTGTAGGGATATTTTCGCCTCTTTACTATCCTCTTGTCCTCTTTACCCTTGCCTTCGCTCCCCTGCCTTTTCTGTCCCTTTCTTTTGCGTTTTTTTTTTCCTGACTGAGCTCCCTGTCTCCTCTATTTTTTTTTTTTTGGTTTCTATGGTTTTTCTTTGTTCCTCCCTCTTTCTTCCTGTCTTCTTTCCCTTCCCGCTTCTGTGGTTCTGCTCCTTTGTCTCTTTTTCTTTCTTTTTTTTTTCTGTTTTTTTGTTTTTACTCTTTTTCTCCTTTCCTCCCTTATGTATCGTATCTTCCCCCCTCTTTATTTTTTTAGATCCTTTCTTTTGTGGTTCGGTTTTCTTTAGCCCCCCTTTTTCGCTTTTTTATTTTGCTATTCTCACATCTTCTTTCCGACCACGCTCATACCTCCCTTATCTCTAGCCTGCAATTTTTCTTGTCCTCGCCCCTGTTGGGCCTTCTGACCGTGTATATGTCTCTTCCTGCTTCGCTTCTTCAGATCTCCTTTTCGTGCTCTCTTGCGTCTTTCTTTTAATGGTTCGTCTTCTGTCCGACTCTCTTCTCTGTTTCCTTCTTTTTCTGTTTTCTTTTTTCTGATGTGTTTGTGCTTGTGGGGAGGTTGAGTCTACTGTCTTCTCACTTTTTTTTTGGGCTTGCATGGGGGGTCCGTGGGCGGTAGATTTTTTCTCCAAATCTCCTCTCCCCCCCCGACTTCTTTAGAGTGTCTCCTTGGACCTTACTGCTGGAAGAGGACATTCTCGACTTGTGGTGGTTTGGTGTCTTTCTTTCCTGTTTGCCCTTTCTTTGGTTTTTGTTTTTTGTTGGATTTTCCACTTACTTGTACGCTTTATCATGCCTTTTATCTTTTGCGTGTCGACCAAGCTCCGTTATTTGGCCCGCCCATGTTCATGGAGTACATATCATGTTTTTTTAGGCTGTGTCCGCCCTCTCCTCAGGTTGTCCGGAGGGCATTTGACAAGCCGTAAACGGATTGCTGAATCATGCGTTGGATGGAGAGGAAGGGTGAGAGGAGTGGAACGTAAAAGCAACGGCAGCGTCATCGGACGACGCTGTCACGGAGGATCATGTTGCTACTTGGGTTGCGGGGCTTTTATTGGTCCGCCTTTTGTTTATTTCTCTTTGTCTTCCCCTGACCGCTCCTGTATATTGTTCTGGTAGTATTGCGGAGCTGTGTGCGGGGCCAATATGGTCTGTATGGAGCAGGTTGGCGTTATGTTGTTGGCGTTGGGTCGCGTGTTGTTATGCACCGTACTGGTCGCTGTTCCTTTTGGGTGTGTCTCTGTGGGTCTTGAGTAGGAACGGCCTTTCTCCGCTTTGTTTTTTGTGCGGCCTGTCTGGAGGCGGTGTTATAGTTTCGCTGGGGCTGCTGTATTGTCTTCTTCCGGCTGAGTTATATTTTTGAGTTGGAATTACATTCCTCGCTGCTCTTTTCTGTTCTGGTTTTATGTTGGTTTTGTGTTGCCTTTTTTGTTGCTTACTGTCAATGCCTTGTGTTCGGGTGGTGGTTGTCGATCTCTTCTTCTTCCTAATTTCGTGTTCCCCTTCCTTCCCGCTCGTCTTCTTTTGTATTGTTTGGTTTTGTTGGTTAACTACTTAGGTCTCAGTTTATTAGGTGGCGAGTTGATTTGAGGTCCAGAGGCACGATGCGGGAGAGGACGGGTTGGGTGAGGGGAGGTGTTGGATGGGTTTGATGTGGGGAAGTTTGTGTGATGGGAGGGTTGGGTAGCGGTGATAAGATAAGAGGTGTGGGGGGGGGCAAAGAAGGAAAACAGATACAGGAAATCTCTCTTTCCTTCGTTTCAAGCTACTTTCCTCGAATAACGGTGACACAGTCTATTTATCGTAGTTTATGTTTGGGCACGGTCGACCAGGTCTCTCCCTAGTCTGCTCGAGGTCACTACTATGCCGTCTCCGTCTTTCCCTCCCATTATTATCACTGGGTACGATTTCTTTCTCCCTCGTGCCCTACCGAGCTTCCTCGTGAGTCCCCCTCCTTTTTTTCTTAGTTCCTTCCCTCGATCTCCTCTCTCGTTCTGTTCTCATCATTTTTTGGCCTCAGGCTCTTCTGTCTACTCTGTATCCCTCCGCTCCGGCTCTTTCTATTAGTATACTGCTCGTGCTATTTTCTTCTATTCGCGATCCACGGTTCTTCCTCTACGGCTCGTCGGTCTTCTCTCTTCTCCATTACCTCGCCTTTTCTCCCGTGCGTTCTCTCGCTCTTGTCTTCTCTTCTTCTTCCAGCTCTTCTATGCGTATCGGACTTAATACTTTGTCCCTCTTATCTTTCCTCTCTCTCTCGGCTCGTCTCTTCCTCCCTCGTACTCTCTTCTTCTCTCCGTAGTAGTCCTTCTCGCTATTTTCGATATCTATCCTACATCCTCTCCTTCTCTTTGCTTCTCATGGACTCTTCTCTCTTCCCGCACTCTCAATCTCTGTCCTTTGTTCTTGTCATTGTCGCTAATCTTGTCGGTGAGTACCTTTCTGCAACTCCTTTTCTTTTTTCAGCTGCTCGTCCTTCTTCTCTTCTTCCTTTCTCTTCGCGCTCTTGACTCGTCGTCTTTCTCTAGTACTACTTTCCTTTTGGCTGCAGGTCGGCTTTCATCTCTTCCCTTTACCTTTGTCTACCGCCTTTTTTCCCTCTTCCTTTTTTTCGCTCTTCTTGGCCCCACCATCCCCCCTGTTTGTTTGTCTTCCTTCCCCCCGGCGCTATTTTGGGTTCTAACACGCATGTGGCTCTCGTAGGTTAGCTCCTTTTCTTTTTTTAGTCTTATTGTCTGTTATTCCTTTTGTTATCTCTGTTGAGTCTCCGTTTTCATCCGTCAAGTCCACGCTGGTTAGCGAGGGCGTAGGATCACGTTTGCTTAGCTATTGGGGCGACTCGGGCTCCGGCTTGTCGTTCTAGTCGTTTGAGCCTCACTCTCTCTCTTCGTGCCTTTGTCCCTTCCCTATGTATGCTTTGCTTATCTACTTTGTGTGCTTGGGTTTAACTTCGTTGGGTTGGTAGGAAGACTTCGGGCGGATACTACTCTCTTTTTTTCTTACCGTTTATCTGCCCCAGTGCCGGTCGTGTCCGTCTCCTTTGTGTATGCTTCTAGCTATCCCGTTTACCCCTCCTTTTTATCCGGGCCTTAGCTGTTTTTGCGCTCGTGCTGTCTGTCTGCGTCTCCTTCTGTTCCTATCGTTCTCGTTGGATGGCGTTGGGCGGGGGGCTCTCGGACGTCTAACTGGGTAGTGGTCTTCTGCTCTGCCCTCTTGTTATCGTTCGTTGTGGTTTTGGTGGTTATGCGCTGTGGTGGTTTTTTTTTAACGTGGGAATTTGGGGGTAGGTTTAGAGAGGGGTTCTGGGGGGGATACGGGTCAGCAGGGGGGGTAGAGGGGGGGTTAGGGGGGGGGGGGGCTGTTGGACGGGGTTTGAAGCCGGAGAGGAGCTGTGTCGGGGGTGACTGGGTTCTCGGGGCGCTGAGTGGGGGGGGCTAGGGGGTTGGGCGGGGGGAGGGTGGTTAATGGTTTGGTATGTGCATTAAGTAGGGCGGGTAGGGGTTGGGTGCCGCTTGTTTCCAAGAACTTTGTTTGGGGAGGGCTGCGGGTAAGAGGGGGTAGGATATGGGATGGAGTGGGTGTGGGCGGGCTGCGGGACTAGTAGTTCGGTTCTGGGTGGAGGTGGCGCTAGGAGCTCGTTTTTGTGGTGGCGGTGCGATGGGGGAGGCGCGGGTGGTTAGGTAGTTCTCTCGTGGGGCCCTATAGCTCCACGTTGAGGGGGGGGGCTGTCGTGGCGTGAGTCTGGGCGGTTGGTTGCGGAGGCTGGAGGGTTGGGGCGGGGTGGAGTGGTCGTGTGTACGGGGTGAAGGAGCCTTTGGGGCTGAGTATCCTCCCTTTGTGGCGTTTAGGGAAGCAGTAGGGAGGGACCCTCCTGTTGGGGGTGTGGTGCGTTGTTGGGGTGAGGGGAGTTGGTTGGGGTGTGTGGAGGGCAGTAGGTGGTCTGGCGGGTGTGGTAGTTGGGTGGGGGGTTTCGGCGGATTGGGGAATGTTGTGCGGTTGGCGTGTTGTTTGGGGGTGGTGGTGCTTTAGCGCGCTTACCTGGCGCCGTGTTGGTCTGGCTGTTATTTCTGAGCGTTTGGTTTTGGTTTGTTATTTGCGCACTGTCATTCGGCCCCGCGTTTGTGTTTGGTGTCTTGTCTCTAGGTGCTCGCTGTTATGGGTGTCTGCGTGTTTCGGGACCAAGGGGCTGGTGTCTTCCTCTCCCCAGCTAGTTCTTGTTTGTTCCCCTGCTTTGCATCTGTACTACTCTTATTTGGGCTCTTTCTTTTTCGCGTATTTTCTTTGTGGTTTGGATGGAGGGGGGCCCAGGGGAGGATTGAACTTGCGTCGGCCTCTTTGCTTTTTTGCGTGTTGGGTGTTGTGGGAGTGGGTGAGTATGTCGTCCGGTTGGCTTGGGCTTGAGTTCGGGTCATTGTGGTTGCTGGGTGTTTCTGTGGTTGGGGGAGGGTTAGAGGGGCGAGTGCGGGCTCCACGACAGAAGTGGGGGGGGTCTGCGGGGCGCGCGGGGTAGAGTTGATTGCGTGGGGATGCGTGGGGGGGTGGGAGGTGGGGCGGCGGGGGGGGGGGGGAGGGGAGAGCGGGGGTCTGGTGTGTGTGGCGGGTGGGTTTTGGTTTCGTCCGCGGCCGTGATGACGCCGTCGTTGAATTCGGTCGTCTCGTTTCTGAATTCTACTTTCGCCGCAACCGCTCCCGCATCCCGCCACGTGCCTCGCCCAGTCCTGCTTGGCTTCTATTGGGTTTTCGCTTCCTTTCGTTGCGTGTTTTCTTGACGGGTTTGTAGGGGGGCTACGTTGTGGCGTGGTTTTCGACTGCTGTCTCTGTCTTCGCTCCACCCACTCCTTCTCAGGACGCCCCTCTCGCTGTGGTTTATGCTTCTCTTTTACAGCTACCCCAGCTTGAGGATACGGCCCATGTGGCAGTCCACGCCAAGTCCCCCCCAGCCCACCCGCCCGCGCGCCTCACCGTTACCCCCCACGCTTGTGTTATTTTTTGATCTTGCGCATGGCCTAGCTCTTCACTTTGCGCCCGTCGTTTTTCCTCTCCTTGGTTACCGTTTAGTTTACTTGCTGTTAGGTTTTACTCTCTTGCCGTGTCTCGGCCTCGCGGGCTCGCGCTGGAGAATTTGGTGGGGTGTCTCTTACTCAGTTCCGTAATTTCTGCACTCCTAGCCCGCTCTACGTCTTTGGTGTCTCGGGATTTCAACCAGTCTCCTCTCCTCTTCATGCCAGCCCGCCTCTTCCTTGCTCTTCTGGCTCTTCGGTACCGTCCGTCGTGGTAGCAACGGGTTCCCTGGCGGTGCTCTGTTCTTGTTTGAGTGCCTGCGATGTCGGTTTTTGGGTGGTCGGGGGTCGTTCAGCGTCTTCCGTCTTTTTTGCGTGGGGTTTATTTCGCTCTGCTCGGTGTTACCCGGTCATGGTCGGGTGTTTTTGGTCTTTCACCTCTGGGTCTTGTTCTCTCCGCGCCCCTGCTCCCTGATTTTGGGTTTCACTCGTTACTTCGGCAGTGTGTCTTGGGTGTGGGTCGAGAGTTGTATTTTATGTCTTCTATTGTTGTTACTGCGAGTATTGCTGTGACACTTTCCGGCCCTGCTTTCGTTTGTGGGGGGCACAAGTCGGGGGGTTGTGTGGTTGCGGGGGTAGGGGGGTGAGGGTGGGGTGGGAGGGCAGGGAAGGCAGAGGTCGCGTTCTTCTACCAGTGAGAGACCAAAGAGAGACCACAGAGAGACCAGAGAGAGACCAGAGAGAGACCAAAGAGAGACCAGAGAGAGACCATGTGATAGAGGCTAACTCACTGGTCCAGAGGTTCAGCTTTAAACAACAGAAACATTTAAAAACATTTCTTCTGTGTCCTTTGGAAGTTTCAAAACCAATGACTCGCCTTTGACTTCGCAGCAGTCGCCGCCGTGTTCCTGTGGCGTCAGTGGCGTGCACCCGCTGCTCGCCGCCGTTCGCTGCTGTTCGCCGCCGCTCACGTTTCTCACACACCGCACAAACCGGGGGCCGTGCATTCATTAAAATGTACCGAGCCCCAATTATCTGCAACACACCGTCAGCAACACACATTAAAGAGGTCGCCTACGCCTGTGTGTGTGTGTGTGTGTGTGTGTGTGTTTGCGTGTGTGTGTGGTGTGTGTTTGTGTTTTTGTGGTTATTGGAAAAGATTATGAAAGACACAAAGAACGTTCGAACTTCAAGCAGTTTCAAGATTTAGCAAATTAGAGAGAGACCACAGAGAGACCAGCGAGAGACCAGAGAGAGACCACAGAGAGACCACAGAGAGACCACAGAGAGACCGGAGAGAGACCAGATAGAGACCAGATAGAGACCACAGAGAGACCACAGAGAGACCAGAGAGAGACCAGAGAGAGACCGGAGAGAGACCACAGAAAGACCAGAGAGAGACCGGAGAGAGACCACAGAGAGACCACAGAGAGAGACCAGAGAGAGACCAGAGAGAGACCAGAGAGAGACCGGAGAGAGACCGGAGAGAGACCACAGAGAGAGACCAGAGAGAGACCAGAGAGAGACCAGAGAGAGATCGGAGAGAGACCAGAATCAGAGAAAGGAAAACACCAAGGCTGTCATTGATGATGGTGCAACCATCTTCCTGTGGACCCACCACCTGCAGGAGGATCAGAGGGACTGGGGTCTGTGAGGACTGGGGTCTGTGTGGACTGGGGTCTGTGAGGACTAGGGTCTGTGAGGACTGGGGTCTGTGAGGACTGGGGTCTGTGTGGACTGGGATCTGTGTGGACTAGGGTCTGTGTGGACTGGGGTCTGTGTGGACTGGGGTCTGTGAGTGACTAGGGTCTGTGTGGACTGGGGTCTGTGAGGACTGGGGTCTGTGAGGACTAGGGTCTGTGAGGACTAGGGTCTGTGTGGACTGGGGTCTGTGAGGACTAGGGTCTGTGTGGACTGGGGTCTGTGTGGACTGGGGTCTGTGAGGACTAGGGTCTGTGAGGACTAGGGTCTGTGTGGACTGGGGTCTGTGTGGACTGGGGTCTGTGAGGACTGGGGTCTGTGTGGACTAGGGTCTGTGTGGACTGGGGTCTGTGAGGACTAGGGTCTGTGAGGACTGGGGTCTGTGTGGACTGGGGTCTGTGAGGACTGGGGTCTGTGTGGACTGGGGTCTGTGAGGACTGGGGTCTGTGAGGACTAGGGTCTGTGTGGACTGGGGGTCTGTGAGGACTAGGGTCTGTGAGGACTAGGGTCTGTGTGGACTGGGGTCTGTGTGGACTAGGGTCTGTGTGGACTGGGGTCTGTGAGGACTAGGGTCTGTGAGGACTAGGGTCTGTGAGGACTGGGGTCTGTGAGGACTGGGATCTGTGTGGACTAGGGTCTGTGAGGACTGGGGTCTGTGAGGACTAGGGTCTGTGTGGACTAGGGTCTGTGAGGACTAGGGTCTGTGTGGACTGGGGTCTGTGAGGACTGGGGTCTGTGTGGACTAGGGTCTGTGTGGACTGGGGTCTGTGTGGACTAGGGTCTGTGTGGACTGGGGTCTGTGAGGACTAGGGTCTGTGAGGACTGGGATCTGTGTGGACTAGGGTCTGTGAGGACTGGGGTCTGTGAGGACTGGGATCTGTGTGGACTAGGGTCTGTGAGGACTGGGGTCTGTGAGGACTAGGGTCTGTGTGGACTGGGGTCTGTGAGGACTAGGGTCTGTGAGGACTAGGGTCTGTGAGGACTAGGGTCTGTGTGGACTGGGGTCTGTGAGGACTGGGGTCTGTGAGGACTGGGGTCTGTGAGGACTAGGGTCTGTGAGGACTAGGGTCTGTGTGGACTGGGGTCTGTGAGGACTAGGGTCTGTGAGGACTAGGGTCTGTGAGGACTGGGGTCTGTGAGGACTAGGGTCTGTGAGGACTAGGGTCTGTGAGGACTAGGGTCTGTGAGGACTGGGGTCTGTGAGGACTGGGGTCTGTGAGGACTGGGGTCTGTGAGGACTAGGGTCTGTGAGGACTGGGGTCTGTGTGGACTGGGGTCTGTGAGGACTAGGGTCTGTGTGGACTGGGGTCTGTGAGGACTGGGGGTCTGTGAGGACTAGGGTCTGTGAGGACTAGGGTCTGTGTGGACTGGGGTCTGTGAGGACTGGGGTCTGTGAGGACTAGGGTCTGTGTGGACTGGGGTCTGTGAGGACTGGGGTCTGTGTGGACTAGGGTCTGTGTGGACTGGGGTCTGTGTGGACTAGGGTCTGTGTGGGACTGGGGTCTGTGTGGACTGGGGTCTGTGAGGACTAGGGTCTGTGTGGACTAGGGTCTGTGAGGACTGGGATCTGTGTGGACTAGGGTCTGTGAGGACTGGGGTCTGTGAGGACTGGGATCTGTGTGGACTAGGGTCTGTGAGGACTGGGGTCTGTGAGGACTAGGGTCTGTGTGGACTGGGGTCTGTGAGGACTAGGGTCTGTGAGGACTAGGGTCTGTGAGGACTAGGGTCTGTGTGGACTGGGGTCTGTGAGGACTGGGGTCTGTGAGGACTGGGGTCTGTGAGGACTAGGGTCTGTGAGGACTAGGGTCTGTGTGGACTGGGGTCTGTGAGGACTAGGGTCTGTGAGGACTAGGGTCTGTGAGGACTGGGGTCTGTGAGGACTAGGGTCTGTGAGGACTAGGGTCTGTGAGGACTAGGGTCTGTGAGGACTGGGGTCTGTGAGGACTAGGGTCTGTGAGGACTGGGGTCTGTGAGGACTAGGGTCTGTGAGGACTAGGGTCTGTGAGGACTGGGGTCTGTGTGGACTGGGGTCTGTGTGGACTGGGGTCTGTGAGGACTAGGGTCTGTGTGGACTGGGGTCTGTGAGGACTAGGGTCTGTGAGGACTAGGGTCTGTGAGGACTGGGGTCTGTGAGGACTAGGGTCTGTGAGGACTAGGGTCTGTGTGGACTGGGGTCTGTGAGGACTAGGGTCTGTGAGGACTGGGGTCTGTGTGGACTAGGGTCTGTGTGGACTGGGGTCTGTGAGGACTAGGGTCTGTGAGGACTAGGGTCTGTGAGGACTAGGGTCTGTGTGGACTAGGGTCTGTGAGGACTAGGGTCTGTGAGGACTAGGGTCTGTGAGGACTAGGGTCTGTGAGGACTAGGGTCTGTGTGGACTAGGGTCTGTGAGGACTAGGGTCTGTGTGGACTGGGGTCTGTGAGGACTGGGGTCTGTGTGGACTGGGGTCTGTGAGGACTGGGGTCTGTGTGGACTGGTTATGATCCTAAAACCTTCTGTAACGAGTTTACTTAATCGTCAAACACGTTCAAACCGTTGATTATTTTTAATTTCACCCAAACCTGTTCCACACGCGGCGAACGGAGCGAGCGCCACGTTCAGAATGGACCTGAAAGCGGCGGATGTGGTGGGGTCGTGGCGAGGTCGTGGCGAGGTCGTGGCGAGGTCGTGGCGAGGTCGTGGCGCTCTCTCTGGCGTCTCCGCGGATCACGTTTTCAATCAGAGCCTCCGTGTTTTCACCGTCTTTTGGGTCAATTTCCGTGGTCTCCTTTCACTCCAGGGAATAATGTATCCATCCATCACGCCGCGCTCCGTCCGGGCGCCAGGTTTTTGGGGTGAAATGAAAAAGATCCTCCTCAGATTAGACAAAACCAGGATAAACAGAGAGCGCTTTATTAACGCTCGGAAAAAAGGGTTTAAGGAAATATGTATTTATTTATATATTTACTGCTGTGCGTGAAGAGAGAGAGACCAGAGAGAGAGAGACCAGAGAGAGAGACAAGAGAGAGAGAGACCAGAGAGAGAAAGACCAGAGAGAGAAAGACCAGAGAGAGAGAGACCAGAAAGAGAGAGACAAGAGAGAGAGAGACCAGAGAGAAAGAGACCAGAGAGAGAGACAAGAGAGAGAGAGACCAGAGAGAGAAAGACCAGAGAGAGAGAGAGAGACCAAAGAGAGAAAGACCAGAGAGAGAGAGACCAGAGAGAGAGAGACCAGAGAGAGAGACCAGAGAGAAAAAGACCAGAGAGAGAGAGAGACCAGAGAGAGAGAGACAAGAGGAAGAGAGACCAGAGAGAGAGACAAGAGAGAGAGACAAGAGAGAGAGACAAGAGAGAGAGAGACAAGAGAGAGAGACCAGAGAGAGAGAGACAAGAGAGAGACAAGAGAGAGAGACAAGAGAGAGAGACAAGAGAGAGAGAGACAAGAGTATGACAAGAGAGAGAGGCAAGAGAGAGGGATAAGAGAGAGACCAGACAGAGACCAGAGAGAGAGATCAGAGAGAGAGAGAGAATAGAGAGAGACCAGAGAGAGACCAGAGAGAGAGACCAGAGAGAGACTAGAGTGAGACCAGAGAGAGAGATCAGAGAGAGAGAGAGAATAGAGAGAGACCAGAGAGAGACCAGAGAGAGAGACAAGAGAGAGACCAGAGAGATCAGAAAAAGATCAGAGAGAGACCAGAGAGAGAGACCAGAGAGACCAGAAAAAGACCAGATAGAGAGACCAGAGAGACACCAGAGAGGATAAACGACCTCCTCCCTCACTGAAGAGAAACCCTGGTGCCGGGGGGATGGAGTCTGGTCCGAGTCTGATGTAAACCTGGGTCTCTGTTGCAGCCTCTGGACTATGAGCGAAAGCGTCTGTTCAGTCTGCGGGTCCAGGTGGAGAACACGCAGTCCGGGCCCCGGGTCCTGGGCGCGGGGCCCTTCACGGATGAGGCCTTGGTGAAGGTGGTGGTGGAGGATGTGGACGAGCCGCCAAAGTTCGAACGAAGTCACTACGTCCTGGAAGTGAAGGAGGACGCACCACGAAACACCGCCATCGGATCGGTCAGCGCCGCCGACCCAGACGACAAGAGGAGCCCGGTCAGGTGAGAGAGAGAGACCAGAGAGAGAGAGACCAGAGAGAGAGACCAGAGAGAGAGACCAAAGAGAGAGACCAGAGAGAGAGAGACCAGAGAGAGAGACCAGAGAGAGAGACCAGAGAGGGAGCCCAGAGAGTCATGTCATGGAAACAGGCCCATAGTGATCGTACCATAGAGATTGTACAGGCCCATAGTGATCGTACAGGCCCATAGTGATCGTACAGGCCCATAGAGATCGTACAGGCTCATAGTGATCGTACAGGCTCATAGTGATCGTACAGGCCCATAGTGATCGTACAGGCCCATAGTGATCGTACAGGCTCATAGTGATCGTACAGGCCCATAGTGATCGTACAGGCTCATAGTGATCGTACAGGCTCATAGTGATCGTACAGGACCATAGTGATCGTACCATAGTAATTGTACAGGCCCATAGTGATCGTACCATAGAGATTGTACAGGCCCATAGTGATCGTACAGGCCCATAGTGATCGTACAGGCCCATAGAGATCGTACAGGCTCATAGTGATCGTACAGGCTCATAGTGATCGTACAGGCCCATAGAGATCGTACAGGCTCATAGTGATCGTACAGGCTCATAGTGATCGTACAGGCCCATAGTGATCGTACAGGCCCATAGTGATCGTACAGGCCCATAGTGATCGTACAGGCCCATAGTGATCGTACAGGCTCATAGTGATCGTACCATAGTAATTCTACAGGCTCATAGTGATCGTACAGGCCCATAGAGATCGTACAGGCTCATAGTGATCGTACAGGCCCATAGAGATTGTACAGGCTCATAGTGATCGTACAGGCTCATAGTGATCGTACAGGCCCATAGTGATCGTACCATAGTAATTGTACAGGCTCATAGTGATCGTACAGGCCCATAGTGATCGTACAGGCTCATAGTGATCGTACAGGCCCATAGTGATCGTACAGGCTCATAGTGATCGTACAGGCCCATAGTGATCGTACAGGCCCATAGTGATCGTACAGGCTCATAGTGATCGTACCATAGTAATTCTACAGGCTCATAGTGATCGTACAGGCCCATAGAGATCGTACAGGCTCATAGTGATCGTACAGGCCCATAGAGATTGTACAGGCTCATAGTGATCGTACAGGCTCATAGTGATCGTACAGGACCATAGTGATCGTACCATAGTAATTGTACAGGCCCATAGTGATCGTACAGGCCCATAGTGATCGTACAGGCTCATAGTGATCGTACAGGCCCATAGTGATCGTACAGGCCCATAGTGATCGTACAGGCTCATAGTGATCGTACCATAGTAATTCTACAGGCTCATAGTGATCGTACAGGCCCATAGAGATCGTACAGGCTCATAGTGATCGTACAGGCCCATAGAGATTGTACAGGCTCATAGTGATCGTACAGGCTCATAGTGATCGTACAGGCCCATAGAGATCGTACAGGCTCATAGTGATCGTACAGGCTCATGGTGATCGTACAGGCCCATAGTGATCGTACAGGCCCATAGTGATCGTACAGGCCCATAGTGATCGTACAGGCTCATAGTGATCGTACAGGCCCATAGTGATCGTACAGGCTCATAGTGATCGTACAGGCCCATAGTGATCGTACAGGCCCATAGAGATCGTACAGGCTCATAGTGATCGTACAGGCTCATAGTGATCGTACAGGCCCATAGAGATCGTACAGGCTCATAGTGATCGTACAGGCTCATAGTGATCGTACAGGCCCATAGTGATCGTACAGGCCCATAGTGATCGTACAGGCCCATAGTGATCGTACAGGCCCATAGTGATCGTACAGGCTCATAGTGATCGTACCATAGAGATTGTACAGGCCCATAGTGATCGTACAGGCCCATAGTGATCGTACAGGCCCATAGAGATCGTACAGGCTCATAGTGATCGTACAGGCTCATAGTGATCGTACAGGCCCATAGAGATCGTACAGGCTCATAGTGATCGTACAGGCTCATAGTGATCGTACAGGCCCATAGTGATCGTACAGGCCCATAGTGATCGTACAGGCCCATAGTGATCGTACAGGCCCATAGTGATCGTACAGGCTCATAGTGATCGTACCATAGTAATTCTACAGGCTCATAGTGATCGTACAGGCCCATAGAGATCGTACAGGCTCATAGTGATCGTACAGGCCCATAGAGATTGTACAGGCTCATAGTGATCGTACAGGCTCATAGTGATCGTACAGGCCCATAGTGATCGTACCATAGTAATTGTACAGGCTCATAGTGATCGTACAGGCCCATAGTGATCGTACAGGCTCATAGTGATCGTACAGGCCCATAGTGATCGTACAGGCTCATAGTGATCGTACAGGCCCATAGTGATCGTACAGGCCCATAGTGATCGTACAGGCTCATAGTGATCGTACCATAGTAATTCTACAGGCTCATAGTGATCGTACAGGCCCATAGAGATCGTACAGGCTCATAGTGATCGTACAGGCCCATAGAGATTGTACAGGCTCATAGTGATCGTACAGGCTCATAGTGATCGTACAGGACCATAGTGATCGTACCATAGTAATTGTACAGGCCCATAGTGATCGTACAGGCCCATAGTGATCGTACAGGCTCATAGTGATCGTACAGGCCCATAGTGATCGTACAGGCCCATAGTGATCGTACAGGCTCATAGTGATCGTACCATAGTAATTCTACAGGCTCATAGTGATCGTACAGGCCCATAGAGATCGTACAGGCTCATAGTGATCGTACAGGCCCATAGAGATTGTACAGGCTCATAGTGATCGTACAGGCTCATAGTGATCGTACAGGCCCATAGAGATCGTACAGGCTCATAGTGATCGTACAGGCTCATGGTGATCGTACAGGCCCATAGTGATCGTACAGGCCCATAGTGATCGTACAGGCCCATAGTGATCGTACAGGCTCATAGTGATCGTACAGGCCCATAGTGATCGTACAGGCTCATAGTGATCGTACAGGCCCATAGTGATCGTACAGGCCCATAGAGATCGTACAGGCTCATAGTGATCGTACAGGCCCATAGTGATCGTACAGGCCCATAGAGATCGTACAGGCTCATAGTGATCGTACAGGCCCATAGTGATCGTACAGGCTCATAGTGATCGTACAGGCCCATAGTGATCGTACAGGCCCATAGTGATCGTACAGGCTCATAGTGATTGTACAGGCTCATAGTGATCGTACAGGCTCATAGTGATCGTACAGGCTCATAGTGATCGTACAGGCTCATAGTGATCGTACAGGCTCATAGTGATCGTACAGGCTCATAGTGATCGTACAGGCTCATAGTGATCGTACAGGCCCATAGTGATCGTACAGGCCCATAGTGATCGTACAGGCCCATAGTGATCGTACAGGCTCATCGCGCTCACGTCTGTTTTGTGTAAAGTGATGGAGCGGATGGTGACGGATAGACTGGTGAATAAATTAGAGCGAGAGGGTAAGTTTATTAGTCTACAAAGTGGTTTCCGGAAAGGCAGAGGGACTATTGATGCTGTTGTGTGTCTGGACGCAGATATTAAAAAAGCCATAGTGAACAGGGACGTTTTAGTGGCCGTCGTTTTGGATATTTTGATGGGAGGCTTATTTGAATCAGAATCAGAATCAGAATCATTTTTATTGCCAACGTAAGTAACGGGAGGTCACAGACTTGGAAATTGCTTTGGCTCAGTGCAACAGTCAAAAAGAGATAATAAAAATAAGAATAAAAAACACTTCTAAAGAATAAATTTAAATTTAAAATAGAGTTACAGTTACTATTTACAATATACAAGTGCACATGGTGCACACAATGTAAGGTGACAGCAGTACAGTGAAGTAAAGTGACGTATGATGGGCAGTAAAGTGACTTTATAAAGGGCGGGGGGACAGGTTAAGAAGTGTTCAAGAGTCCAACAGCAGAGGGGAAGAAACTGTTCTTGTGGCGGGAGGTTCTAGTCCTGATGTCCTTGGAAAAAAACAAATTGAGAGTATTGTTAACAAATGTGAAAAGGTGATTAATATGTTGCGTTTTCTTTCAGGAAGTTCATGGGGGGCATCCAGGGAGACACAGTTAATGATATTCAGGGCAATGGTTAGGTCAAGGTTAGATTATGGAAGTATGTGTTATGGATCAGCAGCAGACGTTTAAATTGTGTACAGGCAAAAGCACTAAGGGGTTTGCTGTGGAGCGCTCCGTCATCTCCAATTCCAGCCTTACGTGTGGAAATGGGTGAAAGTCCCCTATCAATCTGGCGCTCAAAGCTAGCTATGCAGCATGTGGTCAAATGAATAGCGAATCCTGGTAGGCATCGGGCCAAGCTGGTGCTGGATGAAGTTTGGGAATGGGGTGCTAAGCCAAAGTATGGACCCTTTGTGTACAATATGAGGAAAGAGATGCAGAGGCTGCGATTGGGTGAGGTAGCAGTGGCTCCACATTTGGTATGGACCGGTGTGCCTCCCTGGATTCTGCCAGAGATAGACATGTCTGTGATGAGTCTCGCTAAGGCAGGCTCCAACTACCTGGGGTCAGTGAATCAGGCCCTAAGTACGAGCTGGGAGGGATTTCTGCAAATGTATACAGATGGGTCTAAAGATCCAAAGACCAGAAAGACTGGATTTGCGTTTTATGTCCCAGAGTATGACATCCTGCAATTCAAAAGACTCCCTGATGTTTCTGTGTTTACTGCAGAACTGATGGCAATAATTTTGGCCTTGCAATGGGTAGAGCAAACTAAGCAAGAGAAAACAGTTGTATATTCAGATTCAGCCTCTGTCCTGGATCTAATGCCAGTCCTGACCTCATCGCAGAGCTGCTGTCTGTCTTGTTCAGAGTGGAGAGAGCTGGGGGGAGTGTGGGATTCTTGTGGGTTCCCTCGCACGTGGGAGTTGTATGGGAATGAGACCGCTGACATGGCTGCAAAATGGGCTTTGAAGAGGGAGATAGAAGTCTCTGTAGTCCCAGGAGTGCTTGAGTGGAAATCAACTATTAAAAGGTACACCTCAGCTGTCTGGCAGA